GGGGAGCAAAGGGGAGCGGGGATGCGGGGTGGGGACCAGGGAAGGAGGGAAGAGGAGCCCGCCGAGGGGCGGGGAGGAAGGCCGCCGGCTCCGTTATGCAAATGCGCGGAGAACAAGGCAGGGTCAGTTCCAGGCTCCCCTGCGTCCTAATCAGCCAAAGGTGCCCACAGTGGGCCGGCCGGGGAAGCGGGCTGATGCCGGGACTCTAGCCGCCCCGCGAGGAGGGCGGCCAGAGGGGGAGGAGCGATAAGATGGGGCAGAAGCCCCCTAAGCCATCTCCATCCCAACTCCCAGGTCCTAGGGGATTGCCCGCGGGGTGTGCATCCTAACCGCAAGTGCTGGCTCTGCTGGGGACTGCCGGCGTGACCATGAGCAAGTCACTTACCTCGGAGGCCTCGAATTCTTCCAACATAGAATATGAACTAAAAGCGACTGACGGGGTTTAACGAGAACCTTCTAACATACAGGCCTGTGTGGCCAGGAAGTCTTGCACTCGGAGACTGACCACCAGAGCTGTCTGCAGGCCGGAGAGGTTGAGGGGATGGATGGTGAAGGAGCCAGGGCCCGCCCTTCACTGGAACTGAGACAAGGCCACAGGAAACCACTGGTTGAATAAGCCCCGGGGCTGCATGATGCCCATCCCTGGGGCTACTTCCCCAAAAGTGAACATCATTTCACAACAGGTCTGAAAGCAGCTAGAAGTCACCATCTCTGTCCCTTGTCGCCAGGAGAAAGCGATCTAGCAAGCAGAACTCCTAATCCTACCCACCCACACCATAATATCTACTGGGTGCCCACAAAGCGGCCAATACTTGGAGGGTCCTCTAAGGCCTGAAGATAACCCAAACAAAACCAGTGCTTTCCGGTTGATTCGGCACATGATGAACAGAGGTGTGGCAGAGAAGGACTGGGCTCCCTGGCTTCCTTGACTATGATCTTTTTTTTTTTCATCATTTTATTAGGGGCTCATACAACTCTTATCACAATCCATACATACATTAATTGTGTCAAGCACATTTGTACATGCATTGCCCTCATCATTCTCAAAACATTTGCTCTCCACTTAAGCCCCTGGCATCAGCTCCTCATTTTGCCCCTCCCTCCCCGCTCCCCATCCCTCATGAGCCCTTGATAAGAAAGTCGAGGGAAACAGAGGAAAGAGGGGGAGGCAAAGGGCATTTATAGAGGTCTAGATCCCAGGCAGCGAGTTTGGTTTGTTGTTTACAACACCCTCCTTTGTCACTTTTGTTTCCCTTTCCTTGATCCTGGTCCCCTAATATTGTCGCAGCTGGTCCTTCTCCCGGCCTGCCTCTGCCTTGGATAGAGGTATTACTGTTCGACACAAAGAGTTCCAATTGGAGAAGGTATGACATAGGGTATATTCAAAGCCCTGATGGTGTACCGTGTTACATATAAACCGTTAACCATAAGGTCAGCTGAGGCTAGATCTACAGCTCTGGAACCCCTATGGAGCAGTTCTACACTGTTCTATAGGGTCACTAGAAGTCAGAATCTATTTGATAGCAGTGGATTTATGATCCATTTTAAGGTTCACCCTACTTTGAGGATATGACCCTAATACATACCTTTCCTGATATTACGCACAGTATTTTCTTGTTCTGTTCAAACCAGTGCCTCTTGGTCTGTGTACAAGTTCCCCATGAGCACAATTAAATGTTCCAGAATTCCCATTACCTAGAGTTATGCTCCACACAGTCTAATGCCTTTGCCTAGGCCATGAAACACAAGTCAACATCTATCTCGGATTCCCTCTCAGGCAAGATCTATCTGACACCAGCAATGGTATCCCTTATCCCAGTTCCTCTTCTGAACCCTATCTGAATGTCTGACAGCTTCCTCTCAATGTACTACAGGTGGTGTGTGTCATACTAAGTCTGTATGTTGAGCAGATACACTGAGAAACTGGACTATATGAAGAACTCATCAGGATTGGAATAACCCACCAGACACAAATGACACAACATAGCTTGTGGAAAGCCAAGAAGGTCTACATTTACTAATGAAGATAAAGATCTTCCCTGTGGATTGCAACTCAACCTAACGAAAGCAAAAGTTTCTACAAGTGGACTGATAAGTGGCAGCATGATCAATGGAGGAAAAAATTGTAGTTATCAAAGATTTCATTTTACTTAGATCCACAATGAATGCCCATGGGAGCAGCAGTCAAGAAACCAAAAGATCTACTTGCATTGGACAGCTCAGATACAAAAAACCTCTTCAAAGTGTTAAAAAGCAAAGAAGTCAACTGGCAGACTAAGGTGCACTTTACCCAAGCGTAGTAGTTTCGATGGACAATGAATAAAGGCCATGGTTTATACGGGTTTGTTGTTGTTTGTTTAGTTGATACCTCTAAGGGCCAGCCTAGATTCCTGATGTCCATTGAATGAGTCAGAAGCTAGTCCAAGGGAGAGAGACCTATGCATTTAAATGACTGGATTGGGCAGGGTGTAACAGGAGATCAGCACCACAAAGCTCGAAAGAAAATATCAAACCAAAACCAAGCTCACTGCCATGGTGACCCTACAGGAAAGGTAAAGCTGCCCTGTGCCGTTCTGAGACTCTAACTATTTACAGGGGTAGAAACCCTTGTCTCTCTCCAGAGGAGCAGCTGGTGGTTTTGAACTGCTGACCTTGCAGCTGAAAATCCAATGTGTAACCACCACACCACTAGAGCTAAAAAACAAACAAAAAAGAAAACCTAAGCCCCCTGCCATCAAGTCAATTCCAACTCACAGCGACCCTATAGAACAGTGTAGAACTTCCCCACTGGCTTTCGACAAATCTTTATGGAAGGAGAAAACCTCATCTTTCTCCCAAAAAATGGGTGGGGAGGAAGTTTCAAATCCTACATCTTCAAGTTCTTAAGTGTATAGTCAGGGACCAGGCATTTTACCTCTCTGACATCTATAAAAATTAGACTAAACCTACCAACTATCTGATGAGGAAGAGAGACAATATGAGCAAAGTGCCTTTGCTCCTCCAAAAAAGGCAAATGCTAGTTGGATGTCCTTTTCTCATTCCCTCTGTCATTACCTCAGCTCTCATTCATCTCCCCTGACATCAGCTTCCAAATCGGCTTCCCTGCTTCCAGTTTCTGCTCCTACATTCATTTTTCAGCTTGCCGACAGAGGAGTCAGAATCAAACCAATGATGCATGTCATCTTGTTGTGCTTCCAGTAGTCCCAGAGTCGGCTCTAGATCTTCAGGGTAGCGTTTAAGACCTGGTCCAAGCCATCCTTCCCATTGCATTTCTCCGCTCCCCATCCTCCTTCAAACATAGGAAACCAAATTCTAAAACCAAACCAGAGTTTGCAGTGACCGTGACCTCCCGTAGAATCTGTGGGCCCCTCATCTGGCCCTGCACGTCTATGCGCTCCTGCTATGATCAGCAAACTCAGCCACAACACAGAAGACACCTCCTCTAGGCCTCTCATTGATAGTCAATTTGTAGTCATCAGTATTTCCTTTGTAGGAGGAGCCCTGGTGTTGTAAAGAGTTATCGTCTTTCAATCTTTCTATCCAAGAGTGACCATCTCAGCAAACCCTGGGGCAGGTCCACCCTCCCCAACAGGACCGGATGGACTTGACTGCATGTTGGGTTTTTCCATCACATCCAGTGAGCACCTCAGTCATTTCCTTTCCAGACATTACTTTTCCCACAATACAAAAAGCAGAGGGGCTCATTTGAATGGTGTCTCTAGTCCTCCCCGCCCCCACCTCCCCTGCTTTTTTGACCAGAAGAACTACGACCAAACAGCAGAGAAACCGGGGCACAATCTCATGCTAAATTCTTGGCTTGCTGGACCGAGATGACTGCAGATGATGTGAACATTTCCTGGGTTCAGAGACAGAGCAGGCAGTTAGGGGTATCCCTGGATGCATTCCCACAGGGAGTCATGGGGAGAGTGTTCCTTTGGGGGAGATTCCCTGAAGATTTTTCGCTTATCAGTTGTGGACTTCTGATTAATAATGAGGGATAGGAGGCTGGACCATGAGCCCAAATTTTGCCCTCCCAGTCCATTTATGAGGCTTCCCTATATTGTCTCCAGGGCTCGGCCTTCACCGGCAGTTTTCAGTCGAAGGATAGATATTTGCCTTCCCTCTAACCACTACCTCAGTTTCCCCGCTTCCTCTCTTCACCTCACCCTCAGTCTGTGTACAATATTTTATAGACAGCATTTCTCAATCATCATTAGCCAGTTTATTGGTAAATGCAAATAATGGCCTGCTTTGTTGGCTGATCTTTGAAAGTAGACTGCCAGGCCTTCTTCCTAGTCCATCTTAGTCTGGAAGCTCCACTAACACGGGTTCAGCACCGTAGCAACACTAAAGCCTCCAGGGACAGATACAGGGTGGCTGCATCAGGAATTGAACCCAGGTCTCCCAGATGGAAGGTGAGAATTCTACAAACTACTACTACCTCATAATGCCCTACTCTACCATGTTTATTTGCAGCAGTCTCCTTATAAACAATATTTTCATAGCACTCTTGAATCGGAGGAAGTGTGATCCCAAAGTCTCGTAGGGTGAAAAGAGACTGCAGCTTGTTGAGAATCTCCTCTTAGATTCCACTTCCTTGTCCAATTTTGGATACTCAAGACAACACGGCTGTGATGATTTGTGGTAAAGAAAGGATCAAAGCACCAAAGGCTCCTGCTAGTTAGAAGTAAAAGCAGTGATTACCCGTCAGGAGACAGTAGCTTGAAGAGGACATAAGAGTGAGCTGGGGGGGGGGGGGGGGCTGAGATGATGTTGCTTCACAGGGACCTT